AAAATAAAGATTCCCAGTCTCATTCTTTAACTTGTAGGTTTTCCAAAATATCTATAACAGATACTACATTCCTTGAGAATATTTTCACAAAAGCTCTTGAAATCTATCTTTTTTTCTTGTGGGTAAAATTCTGTATGTGTGCAAAAAGATACACAGATCCCAGTAAGTCTCTAATAATACATGCTGAGGTTTCACTAGAGAAAATAAGCACCTGAAATATGTACTATATAAACTAATCTCAACTGGTAATTATGAATGCCTCTGGTTCGAAGCATTTATCATCCGCCCTTCTACATGTTACATGCTATCTTACCTTTCAAGACACAAGGCACTATCATAATATATTCTGTATCTAAAATCACTAAAGTACTTGTAAATATTCAAATGTTTCTGATCATATGCATATATAAATTGCTATACAGTTAAATTTTCTACTGCAATAAAATTATATTAAAATAATATAAGTCTGAGAGTGCCACAAAAAATGTAGCATTTCGATGAGAACAGAAAAAAAAAAAGATTAAAAAAATTAAAAGTAACCAGTTATACTTAATTTTGAAATTCTTTGATATCCCATAAGGAAAAGAATTCGGGTGCTGCTTTGTGGCAAAGTAAATTAAAGAAAAAATTGCTTTAAAAAAAAAATGAAAACTATTATGCTTAATTGGCAGCCAGCCAATCTATTTCCTGTACCTTTAATTGTACTGCTCCAAGTTATTTTTCATAATTTTTGTTTTAAATGTAATTTATATAATTATTTGTATAATTATATTTCAAAAAAAGTCTATTGCAAACTTAAAATGCTGCGCAGTGTTTTTGACAGTTTTTTGATTTTCAACTACATTATTGAAATTATCAGGGCATAGCTGAATTATCAATTTAAAAGTGACCTGTACTGACTAATTTTTGTCTAATGCAACACTAAATGCAATGCTTTCATTTTAGTTTTTTCCAGCTTTATTTACTAAACTGTCAGACTTTCCCCAACCAAAGGTTATATACTAGTCAAATTTTGCTAAGCTATTGTTAAAATCTGAGTGTTTCTATGAAAGTTCATGCACTTTATTATAATTATTAAAAAATTATTAAATATTGGATATTTACCTAGATTATTGCAAGTAAATTTTCAAAAGAATTGAAAATACCTTGTGAAAATATTAACAAATTTGACTGATAAGAGGTACATGTACCCCAGCAGCATGAGCGGGGGCTCGACACAGCATGGACGAACAAGGCAGCTGGCAAACAAACAAGAACAAGAAGCACACAGAGCACAGAGCATTAGGAGAAGAATAGGTGGTACAAAAGCCCAATAAAATCAGTTGAATGTGGTTGCTAAAAAATGTTACTACAAGGTCCAGTGTACCCAAAATAAAATTTTAAGTTCTGAATGTTCCTCAAAAATCCACAATCTTATTATCTAGTGTTGATGAACCCATCCAATGCTGTTTCATCGAACCTTGCTAACTGCACATTACACACAGTTCGGCGAGTTGGTGAAAACAAACTTCATGCCACTTGCGTTAAACTAAGTTTATTGGGCATTTTTTCCAAGACTGTGGTACAAACTAGCTAACATATGTTAGTTTGTGCTGCAGTTATTAGTAAGCCAATAGTTAGCTAACCCAAAAAGAAGACAAGTTAGCTATAAATAACCTCATCTTCGACAATGACATAGCAGATCCACACCGAACTGCACAATCCTCATCGAGCCACCAGTCAAATTTCTAAACTGTCACTCTGAGATCTTCTGATTTATAAAAAAAAAAAAGCCTCTGTTTTGCCTTCCCTACTTAAGTAAAACTTATTTTTCATAAAATTAATTAAATCCTTTCATCTCATGTGACTCCAGAAAATTTGACACACAGTTACAAAACCAGGAACAGCTACATGCTAATTTTTAAATGAGTCCCTCAGCTGCTTGAAATTATATTAAAAGCTGTGAGGTATTTGCAACTGTCTGTGGGTACCTTCCTTTTCCTGCATTCACCAAATGGCAACCCCCAAACCTCTAATTTTTAAAGAATGAAACATTTTCATTTTACAAACATTAAAGTACACCCAAATTTAATTGATTTGCCCATATTTCCAACTGAATTTAAATTTCTTTAGTCATTGAAATATAATAGCTAATAAAATTAGAATATCACAGAAAAATATTAAAATAATTACTCAAGTTTAGAACTTGCAGTTAAGTCAAAAAAAAAAAAAAAAAAAAAAAAGCAGAAATTGATAACTTACACAATGGATACAGAGGAAACAAAATCACTGCAGCACAGTACATGGAAAAAGTCCCCAGTATCCCCGATAAAATTACAAGAGACTGGTGTGGTTTTAACCAGTTGAAAATGATGCCAGAGAAAGAGGGTACCACAAGGCTGGTTGTCTCTAGTATATTTTGGAGCATATGAAGATAATGACAACTTATATATAATGTAAGGCAATATTGCACATTCTATAATATTCACATCATTATTAAAGTAACAAGAGGGGACATCAATGTCTTCCACAGACTAAACACCAAATTTAAACTATGATACTACAGGGAAATAGCTGGTGTTTTTTTTTTTTTTTTGTAGTTAAATTTAAGTATAAATTTTCTTCACGAAAAGAAATGAGATTCAACTTCCCAGAATGTTATATAAAAATTTTTTTGGGGCACTGAGATCATTAAAAATTAAAAATCACCTCCTACATCTTAAGCAAACAATCAAAATCACCATAAAAATTATTACTATCTACTACTGAAGAACTATACAAAAAAGTCTTTTTGTGTTCTATTTTTTTTTAGACTGATTAATCTAGAGGGCACTTATCACACTTTCAATTGGAATGGGTGAACTTTGCTATACAACTGAAGGACAAAGTCTACAGTAAATACTATGGATATTAATACTGTACTACATATAAAAAAAATTTGTTCTCAAAAAGGCAGTAAATGGTTGTGAGGTTATCAGTAGTCGGCCTTGGCATACTACAATAAGACTTAATTAAGCAAAATAAATTTACTAAATAAGTATTACTGAATTTAAAAAATGAAAGGGGCCTAATTACTAGTCCATCACATTTAGGGCTCCCTACAATATGGGCTCTGGGTTGTAATAATAGATGTGAGTAATGTTAAGAAGGGTTTTGTGTCATAACTGTCTGTCTCAATGTGTGAACAAATTTGTTGATTCTACAGCATAGCGTCAAATGCAACTTTTCCCACTTTTTTAAAGGTGCTAGAATTCATTATCTATTTACAAGCCTTTTTACAGATAATTTTCTTGAAGATCATAATATTAATGTAAGTATTAAATTAGAATACTGTATTGAACTTTTGATAATACAGTATAAATTCAAGAGTTCAACCTTTTCTACAGTGCATTAAGTTTCTAGGGCCTTATAGTCTCTCTGCTGCATAGAAAGACCAAAGAGAAAAAGTCATTCTCACACACTACAGAGCTCTAGTTACACATCATCACTGTCTTCAGTACCAGTTTGTGATCAATGGAAAAAAGCTCCATTTTTTTTTCTTGTGTGAGTAGACAAATTTTCAAATTAAAAGATGAATATTTCATATTTATATCACAGCACAGTATCAGGATTTTCAAAAACTATACACATATTATATTTCTTTAAGAATTATTGTCAATATTCAAGACAGTCTGCTTTTGTTAATGTTTATGATGTATGTACCAATGAAGAGAAAAAATGTAGTGGAACTAAGGACTCTGCAGAATGACAAGAACTATCATTTCTGTGAGATATTGTCAGTGGGACCAAGTGTAATACTTGTACGACTGGAAATATAACTAACCTAAATCAGAGGCTACAACCTACCAAACCTCCAAACTAATTTTTCTAACTGGCTTGTTATCTCTATTGTTTTCTTTTTCGATCTTGCATACACACACTATTAATCTGGTCACTATTTTTATTTAACTAAATCAATATACAGCATCCGGGTATAACCTCAAAAACTATTTTTATATAGCAATTAAAATAAATTTAAAAAATTATGGGAAAACAAAAGCACACAGAAAAAATTCAAATAAATTCAATGGAAAATATTAACTAACTTTTCTATTCCCCGAAGAAAACCAGACTCATGCAAACCAAAATCATGCATATACCCGATTAAAAAAAATTAAAATACTGCAAAAAAAAAACTTCAGTAAAAATGATAAAAAAGAACATGAAATTATTTTCATTAGGACTCAAATGCCTAATTTTCTAACCGCAATATTAAAAATTTTTGTAAGTGATGAGATCCATGACTAGAATTTATGCTTAATTTTAAAAAGTCTTAAAACTAAAAATTGTACGAATAAAAAAAATTTTAAATGAATCAATATACAATAAAAAAGAAAGAAAATTTCAACCTCCAACTGTACTAAATAACCAAAATAAAAAACAACTGAAGAAGAGCTTTACCTTATATTTAATTATCAATTAATGTAATTTTGAGTGGTAGTACCAAACCCTTTAATTAGACCTTAATACACTACTTCGAGTAAAAATACAAATATGGCCAAAAAGAAATAAAATGCCAAAGTATTTACATAACTTCCTGATTTCAGTATAAGTCTCAAGAAAAATTTCTTTAGTAAAACAGATTTATTGATTGTTTTTAAAAGGAAAACATTACACTTGAATTTAATTTTGGCAATGGGCATAAGAAACTTCTTCAGCCAACTACTCCTTAACCAATAATATCTACCCCGATTAAATATTTACCTCGATAGTATTATAACAATTTTAGTAGTCTAAATGATTGAAACTAAATTCAGAGAACATTAAGTTATGCAAGCAATGACAAGCAACTGCAGAAATGCAAATATTTTAAAGGGAACAAAATATCTAAATTTGCCCTGAATTTCTTCGAACCCTGACAATGTTAACCCCTTCACCAAATAAGACTAAAAACCTTCTTTTTGGGAATATTATTGACGCTAATCTTTTTTGGGGGCCTGTGTGGTTTTTTTTTTTTTCGGGGTTGAAGAGGTTTCCTGGGGCCCACTTTATCTTCCCCTTTTTCAGAGCTCCTGGGGAACACCCCCTGGACCTGAGGCACCCCTGTCGATGACACCATACCTCCCTCAGGGCCAAATTTCATGTACCTCAAAAAAAAACATAATTTTAAATGTTTAAAAGTTTCAAAAAATTTTTTAAATACAACTGGAAAAATTTCAATATAAGGCAATAATTTGAAGAATAAGCTATGGCAGGGGAAAAAAGGGACTAAAAGTATTAATTCAAAATATGTGGGGTAAAATAAAGGTTGGAAAGTGAGAAGTGGGTTATAGAAAAAGTATAAGCACCCGGGGAAAAAGAGAAGTATAGAGGAGAGAGAGAGATTTTGGGAAATGTTGAGTGAATGCGTGGGGGGTTTGAACCAAGTTGAAGTACTTGTGGGGGGAGATTTTAAAAAACTAAAGTGGGAAATATGTTGTGGGGGAGTATAGGGAAAATTTTGGAGTGCCGGGGGGAAATGAAAATGGGGGACCTTTAAATTTACTATGTGTAGAAAAAAGGTTTGGTAGAAGAATACATATTTTATGAAAAAAAGTATAAAAAATACACAAGTAGATGTAGCCGTAATAAATAGTTTTTAGATATGTATTGGTGATAAAATGTTGATGGTAGGGGTCCAGGATTACCGTTTATAAAAAGGGGAACTGATATATCGGATCATTACTAGTTGTAGCTACAGTTAGAAAAAGGGCAGATGGGATAAAAGGAAAAGGCAACAAGAAGTAAGAGGGAGGTGGGGAAAAGGGGTAAACTAAGGGGGGGGAAGTTGGGTGAAATATAAGCAACTAGGCAAAAAGGGGGGTGGGAGGTATAAGTAGTGGGGGGGTTTAAGAGGGTTGGAAAAGTTTTAAAAGCAATTAGATGTGGGGCAGAAGTTTTGGTTATAGGGGGGTGGGTGCAGGAGGAAAGAGGGGATTGGTGGAATGATGAAGAAAAGGGGGTGTATAAAAAGAAAAAGGTAGCTTAGAGAGGTATTACAAAGCAGAAGTGTTTAAGAAAAGCAGAGATATGGAGAGTAAAAGAAAGGTAAAAGAGGGGGGAGAGGTGTAAAAGGAGAGCGGTAAATAGAGGGGAGAGGTACTGTCAAAAATTTTTTTAATGAAAATAAAAAAAAAATTTTGGGAGGAGTTAAACAAGTTAAGAGACCCTAGGGAACAAATTTTTTTGTCATTTAAAAAAACAAGTAGGGATTTGTAGAGGGGGAGATGGGGGTTTTGGGGTAATGAGAGAATATTTTGAGGAACTTTTTAAATGTCGCAAGAAAGGGAGGGGGGGAATTTCAGCACTGGCCAGGGGGTTTCCATCTTTTAGGAGTTAGAAGAACAGGGTGTGTTGGGGGCGTGCGTGAGGGATTCGAAATGAAAGGGGGGAAAAACAGCTGGAACTGATGGATTATGGCAGAAAAGTTTAAAGCAGGGGGGGGCTAGCGTTGGAATGGTTGGTATTTTTGTTTAAAAAATTAGAAAAGGGGGGGAAGGTTTTCCTAGGGATTGGGAGAGAGCGTGTTAGTCCCTTTAATAAAGGGAAAAGGGGGACAAAAGTGATTGTAAAAAATATAAGAATAATTTTACGAGTATACCGGAAAAGTGTACGTAGGGTTTTATTGAAAGAAAGAGGTAAACGAATGTAGTTTTGCGGATGGCAATAGGTTTTAGAGTGGGTAGTTGATGTGTAGTCAAGTGTTTACATTAAAGCATAATTAGTAGTATTTAGAAAAGGGGGGAAAATTTTTTAATTTGCATTTAGGGTTTAGAAAAGGTAGTAGGTCGGTAGACAGAAACCCACCAGGAAGTAAACCGTCCTGCCGATGACTGTGAAACAAAAACCTTTTAACTGTTTTGCATGAGGTAGATTGCGGGTTTTTTTTTCTTTTTCATAAACAGCTAGATAACGGGGATACTTGCTACTCCTACTAATTTTGGGTCACACTTCACAAACACGCACATGCATTTATATAACATATCTATTTTTTTCTCCTTTTCTAAATAGCTCTTGTTCTTCTTTATTTTTCTTTTTGTCCATGGGGAAGTGGAAAAAAGAATCTTCCTCCGAAGCCATGTTGTCGATGAGGCGACTAAAATGCCGGAGCAATGGCTAGTAACCCTTCTCTTGTAGACATTTACTAAAAAAGAGAAAAAGAAAAATTTAAAAAACGGGGAAGCTTAATGTGCATGGATGTGTGCGGATGACAAGAAACGGATGATGATAAGTTATGAATGAAAAGAAGTTGGATGTCCTGGCCCTAAGCGAAACAAAGCTGAACGGGGTGGGGATTTCGGGGGGGGGGAAATAAATCGGATTAAAACGGAGTATTGAGAGAGTTAGGCAAAGGAAGGGGTACAGTAATATTGAAAGGTCAGTTTTGAAGGAGAAAAAAAGAATATGAATGTGTAAATTCAAGAATATGTGGATTAAAATAAAGGTTGGACGGAAAATGGGTATAATAAAGTGTATACACCTGGGAAGAGAGAATTTAGGAGAAAAGAGAGTTTTTGGAATGTTGATGAAGGAGCTTTAACCAAGGGAGAGAATTGTGGGGGGATAAATGCTAAATGGAGAAACTTTTAGAGAGGGTGGTAGGTAATTTGGGTGCCAGGTTAAATGAAAGGGGAGCCTTTGATTAAACTTGTATAGAAGGGTTTGATTAAAAGGGTAAAACATATTTAAAGAAAAAGAGGATAAATAAAGTAACAAGTAATGATGTAGGGCAAAATGAAGTAGTTTGTTGGATTATGTATTGGTAATAAAACGTTGAGGTGGGTTTCAGGATGACATAAAAAAAGGGGGCCCAAAATTAAAAAAATTTTAGTTATTTTTGCAGAAAGTAAGGGGAAACAAAATGAACGGGGAAAGGGGGGTAAGGTTTTTAAAAATAAAAAAGGGGATTGGGGAAATAAAAAGAGGGGAAATGGGAAGAACAAGGCAAACAAGAGGGGGGGTTTTTAAAAAACTGTTTTTTTCCCCACAAAGGGGACAAAAGGGGTTGGGGGGGAAAGGACTTGGTGGAAAGTTAAAAAAGGGGGGGAAAAATTAAAAATTTTTAAAAATTAAAAGGGGGAAATCGGAAAGGTTAAAAAAAAAAAAAAAGGGGGTTAAGGAGGGGAAAGCGAAAAAAGAGGAAATAAAGGGGGGGATGAAAATTTTTTTTGGAAAAAAAGGGTTTTTGGGGGAATTCGAAGGCCGGAAAAAAAGGATTTTCAGAAAAAAGGGGGAGGGGAAAATAAATTGATAAAAGAGGGGGGAAATTTTGGGAAAATTGGGTTAAATGGGAAGCTTACTTAAGGGCGGGGTTCCCGTAGGGGAAAAACCCCCAAAATTGGGGGCCCAAAAGGCATGAAAAAAAGGGGGTTTTAAACCCGGGGAGGGGAAAAAAAGAAAAAACGGTAAAAAATTTTTTTTGGAGTGGTTGGTCAAAATTAATAAATGTAGGGAAGAGGGTAAGGGTACCTAGGGATTGCAGAGAGCATGCATATTCCTTTGTATAAAGGCAAAGGGGACAAAGAGAGTGCAAAAATTTAAAGGGGATAAGTCTGTTGATATCCCTGGTAAAGTGTAGGTAAGTTTATTATTGAAAGAATTAAGAGTAAACAGAGAATAGGATGCAGATGAACAAGGGAAAGGCTTTAGGAAAGGTGGGGGTGTGTGGACAGGTGTTTACAGTGAAACATATAAGTGAACAGTATTTAGATAAAGCTAATTATATTATAAATCAGAAAGAAGCGCCAAGCCACAGGACTATACGCTAGATAAAGCTAAAAAGGCTTGTGGCATTATGGTTTTGGGAAAAGGCGTATGACAGTGGGGGATAGGGGGGGCAATGTGCAGATGTTGCGGGTGTATGGTGTGGGAGGTAGGTTATGAAAGCAGTAAAGAGTTTTTTACGAGGATAGTGAGGCTCAAGTTAGAGTATGTAGGAAAGAGGGAAAATTTATTTCCCATAAAGAGGCCTTAGACAAGGATGGTGATGTCACCAGGTTGTTTAATAAAAATTTATAATGGGTTGTAAGAGAAGTAAATGCGAGGGCTTGGCAAAGGCAGGAGTTAAAAGATAAAGAATCACACATAAAGTGGGAGTTGCACAGTTGCTCTTTGCTGATGACACTGTGCTCTTGGGAGATTCTGAAGAGAAGCTGCAGAGATTGGGGATGAATTTGGTAGGGATGTGCAAAAGAAAAAAAAATAAAAGGAATACAGGAAAGAGTAAGGTAATGAGGATAACAAAAAGATTAGGTGATGAAAGATTGGATTCAATTGGAGGGAGAGTATGGAGGAGGTGAATGTATTCAGATATTTGGGAGTGGACGGTCGGCGGATGGGTCATGAAAGATGAGGTGAATCATAGAATTGATGAGAGGAAAAAGGGTGAGTGGTGCACTTAGGAGTCTGTGGAGACAAAGAACTTTGTCCTTGGAGGCAAAGAGGGGAATGAATGAGAGTATAGTTTTACCAACGCTCTTATATGGGTGTGAAGCATGGGTGATGAATGTTGCAGCAAGGAGAAGCTGGAGGCAGTGGAGATGTCATGTCTGAGCGCAATGTGTGGTGTGAATATAAATGCAGAGAATTCGTAGTTTGGAAGTTAGGAGGAGGTGCGAGATTACCAAAACTGTTGTCCAGAGGGCTGAGGAAGGGTTGTTGAGGTGGTTCGGACATGTAGAGAGAATGGAGCGAACAGAGTGACTTCAAGAGTGTATCAGTCTGTAGTGGAAGGAAGGCAGGGTAGGGGTGGGCCTAGGAAAGGTTGGAGGGAGGGGGTAAAGGAGGTTTTGTTGCGAGGGGCTTGGACTTCCAGCAGGCATGCGTGAGCGTGTTTGATAGGAGTGAATGGAGACAAATGGTTTTTAATACTTGACGTGCTGTTGGAGTGTGAGCAAAGAAAACATTATGAAGGGATTCAGGGAAACCGGCAGGCGGACTTGAGTCCTGGAGATGGGAAGTACAGTGCCTGCACTCCAAAGGAGGGGTGTTAATGTGCAGTTTAAAAACTGTAGTGTAAAGCAACCCTTCTGGCAAGACAGTGATGGATGAACGATGGTGAAAGTTTTTCTTTTTGGGGCCCCACCCTGCCTTGGGGGAATCGGCCAGT